CCACTCGTCGTCCCTGCCGAGTGAAAGAGAGGTGGCAGCAGGATGGTGCTTTGTGAACTGGAATTCTGTTGAATAGTGATGCGAGATACCTGGCATGATGCTTCTACAAGTGATTAGCGAGTGAGTTAGGAAACGGGATCAGAATAGACGATTTAACCTTTTAAGACTGCGGAAGGTACTCTACAACTATTAATTAGCCAGTTGTAGATGGTAAACATCTCCTTGAACGAGACACTCCAATCCCGTATAGCTTTTACTCGCATTGGACCAAAACGGATTGCTGGAGTCGCTTTGCTCACTTATCTTCGTCATGACCCATTTATTGCTGCCACTTTCTTGCGTAGGGCAATTTGGATCCCTGTGCATTGTATTCTACCGAAGATGAATTGGAGGATCGTGTGAAGGAGATGCTGCACTCGTTCGCGTTTAAGACAAGGCGTTATATTGCTAACCTTGGCCACGGCATCTGCCCCGATGTGGAACCCGAGAAGGTGGCCGCTTTTGTCGACCTAGTGCACCGGTACTCTGCTGATGGCATCGCCGCATAATTATCCTTCCCCCTCTTTCATTTAAGAACACCCGTCCTTTTATTAGGCCCTTTTGTTGAGCCTAGTTATGCTTTATTCCCATTGTAATGGAGTGGTTATCCCGTCTCTCTAAAGTGGGTTCAAAATGGCAGTCAAATTTTCGTACTAATTGAAGGTTTGGGGAGTTTTGTCACACCGCTTCCTCGTTTGAGCATTTCTTGGTAGCTATTTAGGCGTGTTGAAAACCCTACTTCTACCCACATCCAAAATACACATACTTGCCTATGGTGGTTGAGCTTTTGACAATGGAATTTTCATGTCAATTAAATATGTGGGCGGTTTGTTTTAAAAGTTGCAGCATTGTTGGATGGAGATCCCAGTGAACGTTCGAATGAATGGTACCACCTCCCGTCTGCATCGTTGTGACGTTCAAGTAATCGAAATGTCTGCGTGACCACAATGGGGCAAATCTCATGGTCACATTGGGCGAAAAAAATTGACAGCAATCCGTTTTGGTCCAACGTAGGGTGCAAACTATCCAGGATTGGGGTGCCTCATTCAAGGGAATGATTGCTTTCGATGATTACTATGCACTTTGTAAAATGGCACGAGCTATTGAACAGTTGAAAGGGTTCTAATGTGATCGTCTCCACGGCGTTGGCGATGGAATAACGGGAAATATCTGCGCCTTTTACTATTAGTCCGTTCAATCAGTTAAATAAATTAATGAAGGAACAATTTACGGCACCAATGGGTGCGTGATTAAGGGAACCGAAATTCGACAATCGAAGAGGGTTGGTGATAGTGTGGTTGCGGAGGCACGGACGGTGTCAAGATGCGATTGTAAGTATTCAAACACTGCTGCGTTCCTCCAGTTCACAAAGCACCATCCTGCTGCCACCTCTCTTTCACTCGGCAGGGACGACGAGTGGATCTTTCTTATGCTAGTTTCGTCTCCTTTCCCTCACTTACAACTCAGTCGTGGTCTTCCTCCGCTACTGACTGATCGCAGACCCCATTCCTTGGGGGGATCAAATAGGCTATGTAGAAACAACTTTGCAAACTCCATGTCTCCAAAGTGGTTCATTGGCAGGGGGTGGAAAGTCAGGGTGTGGTCCTCTGAGGATCAGATGAGTGCGTGCCTCACGCGTAGGAGGGGTGGTGAATGGACTGTGGCATTTTCATCAGCGTGTTGTTGGAATGTGAAGGTCATGTTGGAAGGCTTGTGTTGCTTTGGTATCATGTTAAGCCGTGTTATTAAACGTACTTTCTTAATTAATCAAAACAGATGCTCCTGCTGCCTTGGTTAAAGTGCTTAGAAGAATGTTTGCAATTTCAGCTATCTTTTGCTTCTATTACGTGTCATTGGTGTTTCTAATGAGCCAGAATCACGTTCAAATAGTGGTTTGTTGTCAAAGCGCAAAATAATGCTGCGGCAATTTTCGCCCTTTTTTATTTATAGATGCCATAGCGACGTGCGCTGCCGAGAGTTGGTCTAATTTATGTTTAATCAGCACCGATCTTGAAGCGTTTTGCGTTGTCGCGAAGTGCTCTTGGTTAGGTTTTATGCTGGACGCTTTGTGCAAAACCTTCGACTTGGTGTTTGTATGTGATTGCCATGGTATCATTTGGTTTGGTTACCAATCTCTCTAAGTATGAAATACTAATTATATAACTTAAGGCCACATTTGGCACTGATTAAATTGATTGGCCCAAATCAATCGGCTTTAAACGCTCGGATGGCTCGGAACATCATCTAATTCTATCGTTCTTCCTTTGATTTTTTCATACTTTGCCACCTACTTCTAGTGGATTATTTGATGGGGTCCTTGTCTTGCAAAGCTTGGAATGAAGTATCAAAGGTCGCTGTGTAATTGTGTGCTAAAAGAGTCGAGGAAATACGGATGACTAGAGCACACACAAATCACTCAGCAAAGGAGTCAGCAACGGTTTTGAGGCTTGTTAATTTCACTTTATTGATAAAACTTGCCTACAAAAAGTTATTGACGTTAAAACTGGGGATTGGAGAGAGGATTGAGTGCAAAGTGGCCTGGTTACGAGCTCACTGGCCGAATTTTGAAGGCTTTTTTATCGACTCGTTGAAATGCAAGCAATGAGGCTTTACAATTATTTAAATAAAAATGATGGCAATCATTAGATGTTTGCGACCTGTTGGGTGGCAAAACAGTGAAGGCGGGTTGTCGAAGGGCGAAAATCCAATCAGCTTCCTAAGGTAACGCTTAGCATCCAAAAAGTAATTGGCAAAGTACGAAAAATAACGTCCATCTTTTTATCGTTAATCTTTCCTGACACATAAATCAGTAGCCTTCAAGGTGACGCCATCGTGTACAATGCTACGGTGTGTATTTTAAGACCCATTAGCTTGGCGAGCGCATGAATGGGTTCTTGTGCCAGCGTCTGTGCGCATTTGGATTTTGTCTGCTCTGCACTGCATTAGGTCACCGCGGGGTCATCATATTCAACTAGAGACTATTGCGTTGCAGCGGTAATAAAAAGATTTGCCTCTGTGTGTCTAACAGAGGATCTTTTCAAAGCGACTTACTTCATTAACACTTTATCTATCACTTTCTGTGAGGAGAAGTGGATTGGTCAACAGTTTGGCTGCTTTTTTTTGCGACCAGCCGATAAAATAAACAATTGAATTGGAGTCGACATTAATTCGAACAGTTCTTGGGACACGCATTTCAAAGAAGTGAGTAAAACAAAGTGAGGTGAACTTGGACTTCCCTTCTGATATTGTTGTCCTTCTGAGGACTCCTGATGAAGCTGATAGCTTACATTATAGAAGGGGAGATGTGAAGAGTTACGCGTAAACCATTTCATTGGACGTTGAGGACTGATTCGTTATAGTATCACATAAATTTTACAGTACCAATCATAGGAACGCGTGGACAGCACTGCCATTGGTGTCGCATCTGTACCGGATGTTTAAATTATAATAAATGAATGAAAACTGAAAGTATAAACAGGTCGACTGGCAGAAACTCAAAGCATTATCCCGGACTTTGGAACCTGTGCTATTAGGCATAATTTCGGCCAAAGGTGTGCAGATTTTACTAAGGCAGCCAGTGAGGATAGTGTCAGGACCTAGTGGTTGAGGCAAGAGCTAACATTTGGGATAGCAACACATCAAAGTCGCGCTTAACAACATGGACAGCACTAAAATCTTGAGGGTTAGGTAGTGAATACTTTAAGAACTCCCCATTTATATCTTGGCCTTATCGAAAGCGCTGCGTCCTCGGAGGTGTTTGGCACCATGATGCTCTCCCTCTGCCGTCACAAGTCACTCTACAACTATCTGACTCCTGATTGGCTGATCTGGATCTAAACACGCTTGTGTATACATTGTGACCGTGACAGTGGCATAGAACATTTTGGTTCTGCTTTGACAGATGGGCAGATGAGCAACAAAAGTCAGGCAAGCGTCTGTTCCTGGAAGACTTTCTCACACATGTTTGATTGAAAACTAAGCTTGTGATCTTATTTGCAAATTCAGTCCCACAATTTTCAAAGTGATCCTGCTAAATTTAGTCTAGCCTAGTTCTGATCAATATGCCAGTTTGGTTTACATTGAACTTACTTGCAAAAAAAAAACAATGCGACTCGGTGCAAATGACTTGACTGCCAGAATTTAACGAGCCCACATCAAACCATTTCACTTCGACACCGAACGCGAGTGGAAAGCTGCTTCAATTCTGAATGCAAACCTTTTGCGTACTGAATTTTTTGTATTTGCCGTCTCCGTAAGACGGATTTTTGAAACCACTTTAACTCAGAAGTCACAATAATCAAGATCCCAATTGATAAATCTGAGGGCATCTGGTCGCCTCTCATCTGTTTTAAGTCTGCTCTTCTGATTTAGCTCCTTCTAGAGCAAGACGTTGCGTACCCAGCCATGGTAACACCAGCTCTGCTTAATAACCTGATTGATGATGCCGCCTTACCCACGCTTGGCATATACCGAACCGTTCGAACTTGTCAGAGGGCAGTCGTCGCAACTAGTAAAATCAAGTCTGCATTTGGCCGAAGTGCTCATTTTACGCAAAAGGCAAAGGGACCGCAAAGTAGTACCCCAAAAGGGCGCTCTAATAGACAGCAAGTGATACGCCTAAATAAGTGAGAGGCAGAAATACATTTATCACGAACTATCTGGATGCTGCCGTAACTCTAAACGCTCATTTAGTACTCGCCTCGAACGCTGTTCGTCTACTTTGTCCACCAGTTCATCCCGAATGCTTTTGACTGGGTGGCGTTCATCTCAACATTGAGCCAGCGAAATTGACCAGTATGCCCACCAAAGTTTGTTGGTGTGCGCATTTCCGCATTGATAGACATGCAGCAATTGTTACATAATGAACGAATCCGGAGGCGGTAGCATTAGGAGCTTGCAGAAGAGCTAGGGGAGACCTGTAGTGAAGGTGAGTTGGAACGTAGACTAATGAGCGCACAGGTAACTTGGCACGTAGTTAAAACAACAAGGCTCGCGTCAAAACTGAACCTTCCAGTTCCAAATTCTCATGTGAGCGGAAAACAAGTGGGAACAATACGTAGTTCAAATCCACAAATCATGTGTACATGTGCATGTCTTTATATAGGTATAAAAGAAATACAAAGAACCAGTTGGGCAGAGGAGAGATTCTATGCCTTTGTCGAACTCAGAATTTCAAGTTTCATTTGCTTGCTCAAGTACACTGAGATTCCGTAGGTTATTGCCCCGATCGTGCTGAAAGCGAAGAGAGACAATAACCCAAAGGTTAACTCAACAGGGTTTATTCGTCGCTGCACAGCTCATTGAGGTAACCCTCATGGACCTTGACACATCTTTGAAATAACTTACTTAAAGCTGCTTAACCCCAAAAGGATAAGGTTAGGATACTTCTGATCCCTAACATGAATACACGCTTATCGAAACTACAAGTCAATCCTCCGCTGCTTGAACATAGAGTTAACAGGTGAGATAACTGCTCCAACAAATTATCACGGGTGACATTGTCTGAGCTATGCAAAGTGGCCTTAGTGAGCCACTAAAAGAGCAGAAAAGGTTGTTACCCCTTCGCCTATAGATGTGAAGATGCAAAGTGGAGCGCAAAGAAGCTATGTGCGATTGACCGTGTCCCACCGCTCCCCACTCTGCTACCATTTACCTGGGGATTCCTTATTTCAGTTCTCCATTACCACCCTCTAATCCTATTTGCTGTTATTTCGTTGTGGATTTGAAGAACGAGTTAGCTGTCAAAGCAAATTCGCGTGAACACGCTGTTACAAGGCAACAGTAAGGAAGCAAGGGCCGGAGAATTTCCATAGGATGAGAAATAATGCCAGCGTTCCAAAGAATCCCCCAACTGATTAAAGGGAAGGGACTGGGTGAGCAAATTCCGCCTCCATCAAAATTATGGAGCTTAGGTTAGTCAAAAAAGACAATCATAAAATCGATAAGAACATATGCAAATGACGAAACCATTTTGAATTTCCACCCTGCTACGAACACTTAGGGTGCACTTTAACTGGATTGCATGGGGAATCGTGAGTAAATGGTTCAGCATTTCCACCACTTCACCTCGACTCGACTACTATACTGCGTAGTGAAAAATTAAACGGGCCTTTTAGTTTGATCACCAATATCAAGTGCTCGCAAGAGGGTATGAAGTCATCCAAATCACACTAAACGTATTAGGAGAACTCAGATTGAGAAAAGGCGTAGCTTTAATTACAAGAATTCTTATGCGATATTGCATACATGTTGAGGTCTCACCTGATAGTCACTCCGCAGAAGTTGACAACTGTAAAGACGTAATCACCGCCAACAAACATACCGCCATAGGAAACGATTGTATTCTGAAAATCCAAGAAAGATTTTTGAAAATCAGGAAGTAAAAATGAAATGAGTAGGAAAATGCTAAAAGTTAAGCGCATCATGTCACCCAAGAATAAAGGTCTTCAAGGTACCTTCATAACACCGACAACGCTCGTTGTGAGGGCCGAAGTTAGACGGGTACACTCAAAGGTAAGAAACTGCAAAGTAACCGCTGCCAGACAAGAAAAGATAAATCCAACCACGAAGAACCCATCCATCCACAAGGGAAAGTCAATGACCTTTATAGGGGAAAGAAACATTGTAGCAAATCCACTTTTAGCAACCCGAAACCAAACAATAAAACTGTGCAAAAAACCAGGGCAATGGAATACAACGAAATAAAAGTGATCCCTATTAATACACACAAAACAAAATTGAAACACCGGGACTTACCGGACGAATAGTGCCGGTATATACAGCAAGGAAAGACATGAAGGGAAACATGAAGATTGAATTGTAAAAAAGGAGAGTTGTGCTAGAGTAATTGTACTTGGAAAGTCGCGATTTCGTGAGCAGCCCTTTAGCTGCTGTTGAGATGTTGTTAATGAAAATGAAGCCATAACCTACGGGATCGAAGTTGATATCACCACTGAAGGTGATAAGACAGGAATGGCATACCTAACGGCAACAAAAGCACCAGTAACCATAATTACTAATGCTACATGTGTCAAAATACTATGCTTTTTTCTAGAAAACAGAGTATTAGTGTGCAGAAAAGAGCATACCCGAAGAAATATCGCTCTCCAAATAGTATGAAAAAATTGGATATGCGTCGCAATGCTGAAAACAGTGGTAGGCTGCAAACAAACTAAGCAACAAAGGCTACAGTACCTAATTGCGCCAGTTCCAGCCAAACCCATTGTTACATCGACCGCGTAAATGCAAGAAAATGGGATTATCTAATGGAGGTAGTGAAGTGCAAGCTCATAAAAGATATGTACCCTCGAAATAAGGGTATGAGAGGGTTTCGGGATTTTAACCAGTCCACACAAGGAAAACACCAATAGTACAACAAATGTAACACACATCTGAGATGCGGCCAAAAATATGGCAGACGGAAACCTTTAAACATGAGAAATCAAAGTGAATGGTAGACATTACCTGTTAGCTGTTAGAATTATCTTATTTGCAAACATAATCCCGATCGATGAGAAAGTGTAGCCCCCTACTACCAAGGCCTTATAAAGAATAGGGGTTTCTGTCATTGGGTTAAGTAAAGTGAATTTCCAAGCCAACTTCATTTGCATCCACCGCCTACATCTCAACGAATTAACATTCGACCTTGAAGAATCTCTCTTAATTAACGTTGAGTAAGTAGTAGAGCTAATCAAATAGTTGTGTCTTCAAATTAAGAACAATAGGTACGAAATTAAGTGTAATACTTTGTTTATTTGACCACATGACTCTTGGCGGTCGCTTTTGGACTTGTCTGGCTCTTGTACACGTGGGCTGGCCTTTGGGCCATGCTCAGACCCATTTGCTCTGTTCTCTTCGAAATCCATGTATCCAGCTGCACTTCCTGACTTATTTTACCGGCTAGGAGGTCCCGGGACGCTATATTAAGTTTAAAGCATACATTAAGGCTAGGAGTAGTAGCTATGCTGGCAAATAGCGAATCAATGCGTACATTTGTAAAAATCCTTTCTTCGTGCTACCCAACCGTCGTTTCCATTTGTATCGAAATCCTGATTTTTAATGTCTCACTGGATATATAGTCAGATTTTGATCTATTGAGAGCTGTCGTTAATTAGCATAATCGATTTGACGGTGTGCTTATACCTCATCGGTTGCTAAGGTTCCGCTTTTTAGAAATGAGGCGCAAAGTGAACGCGGACAAAGTGGTCTAGACGTCTTTGATCTGTACCACAGTCTCCCTCTTCCTCATATACATCATACTCATTGCACGCCTAGGGACGTGTAATAAACCCTTCAAGTAAAGGTGTCTCTCACACGTCCCAGGGACAAAAGGCTCAAACCAACTACAATACCCTCCTCATGTGGGTTCTTAAACTCTTGCACTTCACTGCATTATTCCCAAACCTTACCTCCTACGGAACTATAAAACAAATCCGTCACTAAACGCTAGTTCCCAATATTGTCTCCAACCTCGCTCTGTACTTGCGAATGAAGGCGAGGGGTTTCGAGGCTGGTAATAACCATTGACAAGGCTATACAATCGTCAGGCTACAATTGCTCGAAATACCGCTGCAATACTTAAAATGAAATAATGATAATAAGCTGCCTAGACATACATGGGGAGGATCCCCCCGGATTTGAATCACATTGAACTTGGAAACCTCAGTTTCAGTTGCTTAACGTGTAATATGGCTCTTCTAGAAAGTAATTTAGCTTAGAGGAAGGCTACATCTAAGAATTTGGTTTTTAAAGGTTCAGTGAGAGACGATGGTTTGCAGCCCAATTCTAGTAACCGTAATTGCCATTGTGCCTTACTGCGCATTGGATACGTAGCATTTACCAAATCTAATGCTTTTTCTGCTTTCAGAGGGGCGTTATGGCATAACATTAATAGCAGCAAAGATAAAGCGCCGTGTTAAGGGTATCAGTCTCGACTTGTAGTATTTGATGTAAACCTTACTAGGTTGGAAGTGCGCTAGCTTTCGAGAAGGACTGACGTCCCCAGCGGCTAACTTTGCCCTGGGATTTTCAAAAAACCTATTGAAAATAGAAAAGTCACTCGCCGTGAATAAGCTGGAAAGGCCCATTATGGTTTTAACTGCCATATCCTCATGAGAACATGAAATGTGTGAGCTCATGGTGTCTCCTCTCCATTATTACCTGGATAGAAATCAAGTGTCAATGAGAGGTGGATGAGGAACCCAACCTTAAGGTTTAATCTCACATTACGCTCCTTGTTATGCAATCGTTTTGAGCCCATTACTTTGTACAACCATCAGTGGACACACGCGATGGTCAGCGCATACTACTTCTATGGTTGTGAGAGGAATCAATGATGCTGGGATCAAGTCTCTCCTCGTTTGGACAGAAATTGAATAATGGTCACGAGGAAATTTTGAGGTCTACTCGCAGTACCGTTCATTTTGTGAAGATTAAGGCGAGGAGAATGCCAAAGATGCAGAGGAAGTTATACGACCCTATAGCTACTTATATCTAGGCTTTGGTACAGACCTCCTTGGCGTTGCGCCTGTGTCATGCCAGTAGGTTCGATTCAGACTTTATGTCGACTACGCACATTCTGCCTTTGTATTGTAGATTTTTGTCTTTTAAATTTAGAGAAGTCTCAAGGTGGTACACCACTACTTTCTTGCCATTTATGCAAAGAAAAAGAGACCTGGCTTAATACATTTGCATAATCATTTCTTAGATGACGATGACTATGCTTTACTTGTGTGGTGCGGATCACGTCAAGTTGACTAACCATTTCAAACAAGGACGCTTGATGGTCAAGAGCTTCATACAGAGGTGTCTGTGATGCTCGTTTGTAGGGTAAGTGAGCTCAAATTCGTCTGTGGACAACATCTTTAAGCGCAGTGAATGAATTGCGAATTGCAAGATACAACGAAAAAAAGAACAATTCGCCTTTCGAAATCGGCACACCGAAGTGAACTGCAAGTTTGGATTAGGTGATGTATGATCTCAAAAGGAACAGAAAACAGCAATAAGAAGGTAGTGCATCAGTTGCGTATGAGCACAAGACGATCAGCGAACGAAGACGGACATTTTACGGCCTTCGGTAAAGTTGAATTTGGCAAGGGAGCCACGTTGCCAAGTTCCGCTGTTCTCCATCATTGAAATCCGATCAGGGAGGTTGATGTTCTCTTCGTCCCAGTAGGTATCAGGCACAATTGGCGGAATTTCGCCGTTGTAGGCACGGTCCCAGAAGTTCGTAAACTGGAGAATGATTAATAATGAGATTGTCAGATTTATGGAATGGCAGAAGAAATGGCAGAAGGACAAAAAAGCCAACTGGGATGGGGAATTCATAATCCTGCATGAATTAATAAGGAAGCAGCTAAGACATTTGCCCTGTGAATAATAGCCAGACATGTGTTGTGAACACATCAATACACCAAAACAGTAGCGGTACCTGTGTGGAAGGGAGTGCAATGGTAAATACTCTTGTTAACGGGGGCGTACAGCCCACGTGGGTTTACCTACAGAAAAAGTCAAGCATAAGCTCGATGCAAACAAAATGTTCGAAGACAGCTCAAGTCTGTCCCATGGATGCCTTGGACTCAATATATCAGAGCAATGGGTATAAGGTCAAACTGCCTAAAGATACCTGAACATTGCGTTCAATAAATTCTTCGATTTCGAAGTCGTCCTCATCTTCACCAAATGGACTTATTAGCGTCTCTGCGACCTAAACAGGGTTTGAAATGATCGTTAGTAATCGTGGGCAGGCTTACGCTTGACGCCAGCCTACACATCAAAAGTGTTTATCCTCATTCAGGCTACTCATAACATTGTTCTCTCAGCTCTTCTGGATGTACCAAATTTGAGTATACCGTAATGCTTTCAGAGCTAGCTGGAATCCGCTAAATTTCCTTATCTTACCCTTACTTGCCTTGAGCCAACCCATATAGAATAGGAAACGAAGAAGGCCAAAAATTGGAACATAGAGATCCACACTGATGTGTTTATACTTCTGGTTTGGATCAAGGTATTGCCATGCAAATAGCGCCACAATGAAGTAGGCGTAGACAATCAGTGTTGCTACCTAGAAAGGAAGTTGATGCAAATACAGAGAAGACTTCTCCCTTTATTTATACTGTTAAAACAAGGATAATTTACCTGAGTATAAACAAGCGGGACATTTATCCAATCATAGATACAGAGCTGATAAAGACTGTCCCTGTAGGCCCCAATCTCTGCTGTTAACAATTCAACAGCTCGATTAAAAACTATGTTCTTTTCTTGGTACATTTCTGCAACCAACTCTTGAGCCCAACACAAGGGCAGGAAATTGATTGGTTCCATGCTGTCAGAAGCGCTCTGCCGATAGCGGCGCAGTTCTTCTGGTGTGACCAGACCTTAAGGATGGAGAATACAACGGTTTGTTAATCAGAAAATCGCCCAAAACTATGCATTCAAGAATTTCAAGTCCAAAAGTGCAGAACCACATGGAACTTAATTGTATGGACACATTACAGATACTTTTCCCTGGCCTAATCGTAGACAATAATGTGGATCAAGTGTGACCTTTGCAACTGCTAAGAGTTGGCCCACGTGTTACATGTGGACCACTTCGAAGACCACTAATCAAGATCGTGGTTCTATGCGGTCATGTAATAAATGAAACGCTTCAGAGGGATCCCTATGGATATCAGTCAAGTTTTAGTTTGTGCTGCCCTCGATTCATGATGGCGCTATGGCCCTTGTGAGCGGGATTCTAGGACACACTAACAATCTAACATGCAGCCGTTGTCAAAGCAACTTTCACAAAGCTACTCTAGGGTGGCGGTTGTATTAAAGGCTTAGGTTGAAACATTAGAGAGATTTGCTAGAACAATGTCGACAGAACTGTATAATCCCACCTTCCAATATTTCACACCTCTAATTTTGGTCACCATTTTTAAAAAGTTGAGTGTTCTAGCTGGACCCGAATGTAAGGCCATTACTGTGCATGTGGAGTCACTTCACACGTCCCAATGCAGCATTGTGTCGTCGCGTGACTTCCACCTTAAAGAACATAGTGACTTGCGTGAGTTATGGACCGGGCAGAGAAAGTGAAGAGATCTCGTTGTGAATAGCTTTACAAAAGAAAGTTACCTTTTGGATGAACATAAGCAGGAAGTGCATACTTATGGCAAATGAACAGCGAGATTTCGGATTCGATCTGTCCACTGAAACGGCTGGCTGCGTTATTCGGAGAAGTCTTTCATTTTATTGTAAATCTCAGTCTTATTAGATTGGCGAAAAAGATTGAGTACACCAAGATACAAATAGTCGATTGATTAAAGAACCGATAACAACTGGAAAGTAAGGTAATTTCAAATGAATTGGTGTGAAGCGTTGGTGAATGCCACTCATTCCATAATTTGACATGTAAACTGCTTGAGAAGGAGTATGTAAGAGTGCAATCAATCAAACGTGATTCGCAGAATGTGCAACCGAAAAAGGAGGAAGAAAACTCGTAGAAATATTGGAACATTGAAAACCGCATTCATAAAATCTTATCAAAATAATTAGAGCCGAAAAGTAATAGACGTTTTGGGTAAAAATAACTTTTCACAACCCCCAGTACCAGAAAAGAAAAAAAATTACAACAATTAAGAATCGAACCAACCAGCAGCAATAAGGTTTTCGAGCGTTGGAAATCTAAGACGGGCGCGGGAGGAAATGTTCCGAGTAGTAAGACAGAAGGAGAGGTTGACGTAACGAATGAAACTACGCCTTTGCATACGGGCGCGCTCCGTTGTCGAGTGAGCGTAAGCATTAATGAACAGAACGAGAGAGTCGGGCCAAGGTATGGCGCAGAACTGCTCCCACCATCGCCGCACAATAGTGTTGACGTAGAACCCCAAAACGAACCCCACCGGGAAGATTTCACATAGCTTTTCGCAATGAAGACAAAGGCACTCAAAAGTTCTGTAATTCAAAAATGGAATAAAATCGTGCGTGCTAAGTAGTAAAAATGTCATGGAATAGTGAAGGAATGAAAGTGCAGAACCACAACATACAATCGCGTGAGATGCAAAGATCCTGCTATTAAACGTATTTAAAAATATACAAATATCAATTGAGAACAAGGCAATTAGATACCTTTTCGTGGAATCATCAAATGCAAGGCGATACATCAGTGAAATAATGGAGTAAATAATTGAAAATATCATAAATTCGAACCAGATGGCCTTGTAAACACTTCCTTTCCATCTAAAAAAGTTAGTGCCGGTGGCATGCATACCTAAAAAGGAGTTTTATAAAAGCAAAACATGTTGTAGTGGCAACAGAAGCGGTGTACGACACGGTCATCAGGTGGCAGCCCTGCAAACTCAAAAGATCGCGAAGGTGAGATAAATTGTTTGTAGTAAAAATAAATGTTACAAATATATGAACTATAAATAGGCTGGTACCATTGCCATCGTGTAGGGACGAAAGTCATACTAATTTGCAGATTTTAAATTATTTATGCCAAAAAATACACATTGTTTATTAAGTAACATTGTTATTGAACACCGAAGGCAAACAAATTATATTTTTACAAAAATGCGAGCAAGTCGACTTTGTCGCTTTCTTTATTTTGCAATAAACCAAATTTTTAACAGCAATTACAGGTATCAACACGCCATGATTATGCTGATCTTCTTTAAAGGCGCCTCTTATGCTTAGAGGCGTGCTCACTATTCATAAGTTGTGATTCGTTGGCGCATCAATTTCTTAATTAAGGTATCTCACTGTCTTTTCTGTTAGCTTTGTCCACGTTTGAAATTGCACTGTTCAGACTGGCTGTCAATCGGATTTCCAGCCAATGTCGACGTTTCCCTTGCCTTATCCCATCCAGCTATTTGAATTTTTTTAATTTGCTCACTTACTTTCGTCCTTCAAGCGGGAGCAGCGAGTTTCTTTAATGTTGAATTAAGCAGAAGTTGTCTGCTCAATATCCTTGTCTTATTATTAAGCCATTGCTTCGTGTAGCGTGGTAAACTTCCTGTCACTTGTAGCCTTGCGAATTGGTAGTGACTGATCTGTTTATTGTTCACGTGTGTACAATGCTTCGTCCGTGTTATCTTTCCTATTAATTAAGTTGAGTTACTGTTGTTGACGTATAGAGTTGGTGCTATCGAACTCGTATTGCGTGTAACAGAAACTATTTTATAATATGTTGACCTGTTAAATTTTGCTGCCAGTGACGACATTTTACAGACAGGTGATCTTCTATGCTTGTGTTCCAGGTACTTGGCAATGCCAATCGTGTCGATTCCAGAGAAGGTTCTTTTTGAAAAGCTTGGTCGCACCTACAGTAGGTCAACTCTAATCTCTCATCAGTTTTCTTTTAGCTGAACGGGAATTCGATGATCTCCTCTTCGCCTATGGTCTAGAACTTGACGAGATAGTAAGTGGTCAGGATTTTCATTGAATCCTACCCTTCCATCTAGACCTCAGAACAGGAGTTGGCAGCTAGAGAGCACGGAATTGTCGTTGGATCAGATGGGAGCTCTGAGACCATCTACAAAGTCGAGGTGCCCGCAAATCGATATGACCTTCTTTGTGCAGAAGGACTTACTCGGGCTCTGCTAATTTTTCAGAACAAGTACAATATTGCTCGTCTGTTAACCAACATCACGATCTTTGTAATTAATAGACCCTAATATTTGCCATTTTTAGGTTGGTTACTCCGGAGTACAGGACTGTTACACCAAAAGATCCTTTAAGGCTAACAGCTACTGAGAGCGTAAGTCGCAAATTTTTCAGATGGTTAGAATTAGCTGAGATCTTTGAAATACTCCGTCTTATTAAATGTTTTCTTTGAAGGTGAGGTTAGTTCGCCCCTACGTTGTCTGTGCGGTGCTAAGAGATCTCAAATTTGACAAAAGGCGCTACGCTAGCTTCATTGATCTGCAGGATAAACTGCACCAGAATATTGGCCGGTAAGTTTGCGGTCAAAACTTTTTCTCGAATGTGGTGCATAACTGCTTCAGTATTTCGCTGTTGTCCGATTCGTGCGGTAGGTGGATACCACCTTGGGCTCGCTATTAGCGTTGAAACTTCCCATGATTTCATTTGAAGTGTCCAGTTCCTGGGGAATCAACACTGTGAGAGAAATGGAGGTGGCTGGGCTGTTTGCGGGATCTGAATTGGTGTTTTAATTTTATGCTTATTGTCTTTACAACCTTAGCTTGCAAATTATCCGCCTTTTATTCGACTCCCTGAGCACGAGATATCTTGGCTTATTTTTATTTTTGGAGGATTTTTGTCTAATCTTGTGGGCACTTTAGCTTCTAATTTGGAGAAGAACCCTATCATTGGCCTGGTTCATAAGCGTTTTTGCAAAGTCAAACCCTTGCAGGTGTGGATTAAGGCGACTTCGGTTGACAAATCGACGTTTGTGTCAATCTTTGTTTTAATAAATTTTAGAGTGAGGAAATTGCAGCAATTTAACTTGTTGAATGATCTCCCATAGATCAGATTATTTTTGTCCTTTTTGTTCTGATATGCTCACAGAGGTACTTTAATAACAACTTTTAAAGCCTGCCGACTGTAGTTTACAAGGACCGATAAACCTGTCTGTTGGGAGGTAATAAGATCCGTCCTATTTGTTTGCATCCAAATCACAGGAGGCGCAGTCTCGTTGCCATAGGAACGCACGACCTGGATACTCTGGTGCCACCCTTTACCTACACTGCGCTTCCACCCGGAGACATTCGTTTCAGACCCTTAAATCAGACAAGGGAGTACACAGCAGTTGAACTAATGCAACTTTATTCGGTGCGTGTGCAGCCTATTCCACTTATAACTTTCATGTAGTTCGACAGTTTACTCACTGGTTTATTCTTTTCCTTATTTTCATTTAAGAACGAATCTCATTTGAAGGCCTATTTGGATATCATTCGCAATAAGCCGGTATATCCTCTGATCACGGATTCGAGAGGTGTGGTGCTCTCCATGCCTCCTATCATTAATGGTGGGTTCCTGGTCACCTTTATTTCCATTGCAGCATTGGCTCATTGGGTGGATTAGGCTACTTCAGCTAAATGTGCGTACTGTCTGGCCATTTCTGAAATCTGTTCATGCTTCAATTTCATAGCGCTCCCTGTCACGCCGTTAACGTCTCGCAGTCGAGCGAGTTAAGGCCTCGGAAGCTAGAGGTATGAGCAGGTCTTCGACTTTTTTGATGTCCAAATGTTTCTTTATGTAGCTAGATGTCTGTGAACAATCTGAAACGTATTCCTACTAGTATTACTTATATTGGTGTTTAGCCAAGGCATAGGGTATTTTGCCGGTGTGCTTTCAATAACAACTAGATCTTGTACTTGAAGAGCACAGGCATGCCTTGAGCGATTTGTTTTCTCCTAAGGCTCCGGCAATGGACGTGTAGATTGTTCACTATCTGTAGCCTAAATGGCCAGCAATGCAGGAACGTAAAAGCACAATTTGAAAGGGGTGGGTTTCAGTAATATTCATACATGCAATAGTCTCCTTCTACAGGTGAACATTCCAAAATCACCCTAGCAACCAAGAATGTCTTCATTGAGTGTACTGCAACCGATCTCAACAAGGCCAGCATTGTTCTGGATACCATAGTAACTATGTTCTCGGAGTACTGTGCTCGTCCGTTCACGTAAGTTCACATTTCTCATTCGCGCGTCTCCTGGAGCTTCCTTGTGGTACAGTTGCATTGCTCTTGTGCCGTTGGTACTGTGTGGGTTGTGTTGGTTAAATTTTATCAAGTTCCGTTTTTTCACTTAAAGTCAAGTTTGGTAGAAATGTTGCGCTTTTTGCCTTATTTGACGATTATTCACTTTAAACGTGCTTAAAAGCACAAACAATCAAGTAATCGTTTATTTATTCTGGTTCGCTTGTCATAAAGTGTGTTTTCGGGTTTTTTTACAATATCGTTTTTCTTACCCACAGCTCCTATTATGCCACTTGTGTTTCTATCCAATTTTTGACTTTTTTAAGACTCGGAAACAACTGCTGCTAAAATACGAGCTACGGGTAAGGTTTAGACGTGAACAACATTTTAGAGTTTTACCCAAAGTTTCCAGTTGTCTTCTGTCTACGAAGTAAGTTGCACTCGTTACTGAACGAAGAGTTTTTCTGCTATCAAGGCAGTGGGAAAGACACATTTTTTGGCTCATATTGCCAGTGATCGTTAAGTGCCACCGCTTCTATCATAAAAGTAGGTTGATTTTGATTCCTTTGAATTTCGGAAGCCTAATCCCTACTTGTGCTCCCATACTTTCCGAGTAGAGACAATTTTTTTTTCACCCACTATCGATTAACTTTGTGTATCCTTCGGCGATGGTGGGGGAGTAGTCTCTTCCCCTCAAAAACTGGAAATAGACATATTTGAATTACCGTTGTAACGTCGAACCCGTCTCTACGATCTCATCGCCCATTCCTGCGGATCGTGCTCGGATGTAAAATCGCAACATTTTTCGGCCTCTCATTTTCTCATGTCCACAAATAGAAGTTGGTCGTGCGCGTGCGAGACTTTGCTTTGTTCTCTATAGCTGATAGGATAAATTGCTGCCGCTCCCATCATTTAGCCAACTTACCACCGACCCGAAGTTATTCTCACTGCATAGTTTAACCACCACCTTTCACTTACATAACTATTACACTAAAGCGTCTGTGTTGTTCTCATTCCTATCTCAAAGTGTGTTTCAGTTTTCGCCTCCTTAAATATGCTTCATTTCACCGAAAGTGTATGCCTTTTACTATGCATTGCAAAGGTATTGTTGTATTGTGAAGTTCCTGAAACAAGTTCATTTTTTGTGTTTTGTTAAGTCTCTTCATTCATTTCTTATCGTGCTTGCTATTATTGTTACATGATTGAGGCTCTCAGATTTATTCAGCTTATATTTGGTACCTGTAACCGCATCGCAGTTATCTTAATGAATTTAAAACACCCTCCAAAGCCACTACACTAAGCCATTCGGGCTGTGGTGGTTGATGTTTTCCACACCTAGGGAGGAAAGCCGTCAAATTTTCATGCGCGATCGCTCATTTTCGATGTGTGCGCAAGTAGAGATAATTAAATGTATCTTTTAAACATTAAAACGTTTGGAAACTAATGGAAAATCAGATTGTTACATCGCACTCTAGGAGTGAGTTTAGCTTCTAAGCCCTCTCTTCCTTATGCTCACAGCTCAGAACAAGTAGAGGTCACCCAGTGGGATGGCAGTCGCAACTACTACCCTGTGAGTTGACTCCTTATACCCTTACAAGCATAGTTTGGGACCCGTGACCTTTTTGGTATTTCGTTCTCTTTGCAAGTAGCGCCTGCAGCAGCGCATGGCGTTGGTGAGCATGGAATATATAAACACCCTTGTGGGGATTGAATGCAGTGAAGCTGAAGTCACTCAACTGCTCACTCGTATGGGTCTCACCAGTTGCGCGATTGACGAGGCCACTCACGTATTGACAGATAAAACTCACGGTAAGTAACTTCCTGTGTCACTTGCAGGTGGAGAGTATATCAAGTGGAAGAATGGGAAGAATCATTTCTTCATTTACGATGGAGAGTGTGCGTAGTTTTAGTCGATTTTGAAATTGGTAGTTGCTTGACCGGAATGATACTATTTTTAATTCACATTTTTTATCTCATGCCTTGCAAATAGATTGGATGATGGTGACATAAAACAATGGTTTCTTCAAATAGCGTTATCTGATTATGAAGACCTAAGGGCTAGGTGTGAAAGGCGATATCTAGGAGTTAGGGTCGAAATCTCGGGACATGGGAATTGCCTGTGTATACTACCATAGTTTGTGCAATTTTAGGCATCAAACACTGCCCAATACTTTTATAAACGCAAAACATCTCTTGAACTCTCTGTGCTGTTTTTGTAAACTGTGAACATGCAAGTCATAATAAATTTGGTTAGAATGCACTAACCGTAAGACCTTTGAAGGTTGCGTTTCAGCCAGTTGGTACAATTCGGGAACGAAGCAGTTTCAAGAGGTCTCCAGTTACCGGTTACTAAATGTTCACTTAGGTGATGCGAAGCCGCCCTCACACAGTGTAGATCTGGTTTTCCTCTCAACCTTCTCTTTTGGATTCTCCTGCTACTTGTAATGCAAAAATTAACATTTCCATCGCAAATGCTTGGCTCCCGGCGCCCATTTATCCCTGTAGGCGGTAGTAAATGATCATAAGGTTCGTGCGTTTTGGAGTACACCTCATCATGACGACATGACACCGCTTGGATGATCGTGTCAAATCCATACAATATGTAAAGTGGAGGTGCACACCTGTCCAGTCGGAATGTACGTTTCGCTTCGTTTTTCACTACTCTTCCCCTACTTTGAACTCTGACACCATAAGGTAACGGTTGAATCTGCCACACGCGATTATGACTTACATTTTAGGGTGTGTAAAGCATTTGGACGACGCGCGCCATCGAGACGCTATGGGAGGATAACCTTATGAGAAGGAACTTAAACAACAAACACGGACGTTGTAATCTTTATATTTCTTACCACACTATAAGAATGTGCTGTCAAGAAGATGTTAACTCATGTTAATATGGTTTTAGGGCATAGTGCGGAATAAAACTGTATAGCTGGTTGATTGACTTCGAAGGATTCCCTCACTACTTTTTTGCACGCATCTGAGGCATGTACCACATCACTTTGTGCATGGGCGTTCGATGAGGTGCAGACACAACTGTTTACTATGAATTGTTGGCTTTTTGAAGGCGCATCGATTGCACATTGGATCTGTTTCAACAACGTGATGTAAATCCTGTATGTACAAGGAAATTCTTTGGGAGCAGCTAAGATTGCTGAGCTGGCCTTTTGTACTCTCGGGAGACGTAGAATGGCTTCACACTACCACAAAACTCATCCTTCTCACTACCTGATGGCGCGTTTCGGGGTGGAATATAAGGAAAAAGGAGGGCTTTTGTTCATACCATTCTCTCCATTCCAGTATCTGATGACACCTCTCCTTATAATGTTTATTAGCTTTGCCCGAGATTTTCGTTGGCATTAGTCAATAATGCGATCGTGCGCAAAGCAGACCTGAAGTTTGTATAACAATCAAGGGGATACGAATGGGAATTGAAAATCTAAGGTATTGATTCAATAAGTAGGTGATGTTGTTTGAAATCATTCCTTCATTAGAAGTGACGCCACACATATCCTCTGCACTAGTTTGTAAGCGTAAATGCTGTCCTCCTTTAGATGTTGTCTTATCGTACGGACTTTTGCTGACAGTTGACATATGCTCTCCTGCCTAATTTGTGGAAGTTTGCACTACATCGACCATCCAAGAGTGAGAATTGGGGAATTAGAGTGATTTCGATCTCCCTTTCCCAACGCATAGGCGGAAATACATGCAAACTTTACAGTAATTGGCTCGCCGGGTGTTAAGCAAAAGTTGAGGATCATCTGTGCGCGTTGCAGTCGCTTTAATGCTTTCCCCCTCTGAAGTGATGCCAACAACTGCACTAACCAACGGACATATTTCACTGCTCCTCAACACACAAAGCAGATGACTCTTTCCTCCGGTCATAAATATCCTGCAATGCTCTTTGTTGCGCACTACTTCACCGGCCTGTCTACGGCACGATTTGGTGCTCTCATTTATATACAATCGAGTAGAGTTTAAAACTATTATGACGTGACGCTTGGTTAAGATAGAAGAATATGCAGACTGAAATAAATGAAAAGTTCTCTTTGACGACTATGGAATGTACCTCTTGTGTCCATCTCACGTTCAGGCAAAAGCAGCGTATTGTCGGTGCGAATTCCACCAACTCGTCAAGATGTTCTGCACCCTTGTGACATTGCGGAGGATGTGGCGATTGCCTATGGATATGAGCGCATTGAAGAAAGCCTACCCACCACCTTTACTATGGTCACTGACCAGCCGCTCAACCGTCTCACCGACATGATTCGCACCGAGATCGCTCTCTGCGGCTTTACTGAAGCCCTTACCTTCTCTCTTGTAAGTTTTGTTGTCTTCTTTTACGTGCATTTTGTCCGATGACTGATGCGACCTTGGTAGTTGTGCTTGCTGTCATTTTTTGTTAATTGCAGGTGTTTATTACACTGTTTTCGGTTTGGAAGGCGTACAAGATTCGCCTATAGTTTGGCCTATTTCAGTCTTGAACTTCTCTGAAACGGGTGCCATGTTAGGGTTCAAGAGAATAAGATTCGTCTCGTTATTTCCCCGATGTTTTTTGGGTGCAGTTATAGACTACATCTGCCTCATATCTAGCTCTTTCACCACTGGACATAGGCTTTCCTTCGCGACTTCCCTGCATTCATCGCTTATCCTTCCCTTTGTTCACTTTATCCATAAATGATTCTCAAATATTGGTTTTCTTTGTTCAATAGTAAATTGCTGTGTCGGCGGTAGTGCTCCTACACGCCCGTCGTGTAGGCAAGGCAAGGTGTCTGTTCAGAAGTTCTTATTTCCTAATCTTATTGTTAGCCTTGACGGTGCCAAAGCTATTTACTCATGCAAATCCCTATTTACATGATGTGGCAAATATTTATGGTAGCCAGTGTGTCTAACTTGGCTAGCGTTAGTTAATTTTGCCTCATTCCAAATTCGAACGTTAAGTCTTCACTTTGAGGCGCGGATTTCGATGACTTTTTTCTTAACATATGCTAAGAATGAATAGGACATTTTTGCGCCTTTTTATTCCTTTAGAAAAGGAGCAGGAACGATTTTACAGCGTTTGCGTCGTTACGAGATTCTTTCACTCAGAGGAGAAGGGATAAGGCTATTTTGTTCATTTATTAACATCCCTCATCGTGTACTCTCAGTGTGGCATCTATTTTCGAATGGACTTTGCTTATTCAAGGGGCGAAAGACTGGAAAGCGATTTTAGAGCATTTTGGAATCGATTCTCAGTGAGGGTAGATTTTACTATGGCACTAAGGGAAGGTTGAATGCGTTATTTGGAGCTACTCATGTCCTGATTTGTTAATGTTAGTACAATCTCAATAACTTCAACTTTCTTTTTAGTGCTCACGTGCGGATATCAGCACGAACCTGCAAAAGAGTCTGGAGGATCAACCCGCTGTTCATATTGGCAATCCAAAAACCCTTGATTTTCAGGCAAGTTGCTGACCTATGAATTTGAGTTGATTGCTGTTTTTGTGACGTATCGCTTGATGCATTTTGGGTCGCCTCCATCCCTTCCATATCATCGTCCTGCCAAACGTTTGATTTGCCTTTATGGATTGGTCGAATATGACCTGTAGGTAATTTTATCTTAGGGCTTCTAATCAGCTTATTTAGAAGCATTGAGCCTCCCTGCCATATGCGTTTATCGGTTAGGACCTGCCTTTACATTCAAAATACTAATAGGTCTATTTTTGTTTTGGGTACAATGAAAATAAGATTTGCTATTCTTGAATCTATCGTTGACTTGAGAGGTTTTTAAGAGTGACTCATACCTTTCCAATCCAATTTTTCCAGTTTCTTTTTCTTTAAAGGTAGTTCGCACAACCCTGCTTCCGGGCCTTCTTTCCACACTCTCCAACAATCGAAGTCTTCCCCTGCCATTAAAGCTCTTTGAGGTTCAGGACGTGGTGTTGAAAGATCCAAGCAAAGGTAGCCCATTGTTTTGTTTTCCCTGATATAATTCGGTCACCCTCCATCCATCCGTCTCGGTCATCTTTCCCCACCCATCGATTACGTAAAGCCGACGACGTGTTCCGCACTCCCTTTCCACTTTTTAGTAGTGATCGGTAAGCACAAAACTAAGCGTCACTTTTTTGGGAATTCAATTATAGAGGATAAAAGGCAACGTTTTTTGGGGAACAGTTTTGCATGCCAGTAATAAAGCCCAGACCATTTACCTCTCGACTTGTGGATGACAAAGCTCAGATTTTGCACATCGCAACGGATGAACTTAGACGTACGACGCTAAAACGATGGTGATGAGCAAACTATGGGTTTGTGAATACCTTTTCTGGCACAACTATGTGTTTTTTTAGTTTTGTAAGCACACTTCATCAGTATTTTGACGATAATAGCTAGGAGGTGGTATTTTGGCTCTCGAAGTCAATGCGTGACTTCTGCAACTACTGACAGTTTATTAATTTAGCCACAGTATGATACGCACCAAAAGTGATTTCGATGGAAGGTAGTGCATGCCCTCAATCATAATGGACAAATCATTACACTTTTGGTCACAATTGTCAACATGTCTCCTATTCGCGATTAGCATTTGCAATGTTTCTTATGCCCTCTTGTATATCTTTTTTAAATCAATGCACTTGCCCTCCTCAACTTTGGTCATACGCCGCATTGACCCTTCTTACTTCTTAAGGCCATTTTCTCGACCCATATTTTGATTTCTGATATTTTGTCGTTTCCAAAATGCCTACTCTGGAGGCTTTAACGGTTTATTCAGCATGCCAACTGTGGCTTCCTCACCGTGAATCCAAACTTTATTCGTAGTAAGTCGTTTGGCCTAATGGAAGACATCTGTCGGTATTCCACTTAAATTGAATTATTTGTAGACGTCGGATGCCGCAATAACAGACGTGTGTGCGCCGTCTACTGCAACAAGACCTCGGGATTCGAGGCGATCCATGGCCTTCTTGATCGCCTGATGCAAGTGCTTGAGGTGGCCTACGAGAAGAATGCAAGATCTGACGGTCTGGCCTATTATCTGAAGGAAGTTGATGGTGGGTCATCTTGTTTCGTAGAGCTCAGCTACTTGGTAATTTACTGTTCGCCTTTACGATCTTGTGCCGCGGCGTTTGAGTATTCCACTTGAGCTTATTCCAGATCTGATCTTGAAAATTCCATCAACGTATTGATTTCAGGAATGCGGTAGGGTTGTTGAAAGGCATTCCACTTTACTAATCAGTTTCATCATGCTCCGTAGAAGCTTGTTCAACTTACACAGTAGGATATCCTTTCTTGTGTCATTAGTTATCCCTCTTTCTTTAAGCCTATAAATACGCTTTAAACGTACCTCTTTCGCGAGCTTATTTCGTGTCACCATTTATTTTAGAGCTCCTGCAAAAGTGTGGGAGAGAAGTGGTTAAAAAGTGATCCTAATGATCTAAGACATCGGGATGCACTCTCCTCTTGATCGCATTGATAGCAATCGATGATTAAATGCAAATCCCTTCTTGCATTTAAGGAAAAAACTGGCCATGCCGGAGGCTTCGATTTACCCGCCTATTTGTTGTTTTATTTTTAGTGCTAGCCTTCGGGTTTAGGGATTAATACGATTATTTAAAACCGTATTGTGTTTTGGCTGAGGATGCCATGTCCGCCAGGCAATCGCTCTTGTTATGATTTTTGAACCTCTCATAAAAACGATTGTTCTGAAATATTGGTAGCATCGTTACGATAGGTAGATCAAGGCTTGTGTCATGTTTTCGAAGGGACAAGGGTTACCATGTGGTGGCAGCCATTGTTAACTTTTCATGTGGTAAATTCTACTGAAGTTGAATTTGCAACTTCATTAACTGGTTAAGTGGATAGGCAAATGATGGGAAAACTCCATTGTCAATAGCTGTTTAGTCAATATTCATAACCATTCCTATTTTTGAGCGTTAAATATTTGTGTCATCCACCATTATCCTTGATTAATTTCTATTTCCTTTGTCTTTTGGCAATGGCATGCAACTTGGAACTTATATTTGCCATTCCTGAGTCTGTATTGTGGGTATATTCAAAACGCCTGTCTAACTGCGAAAAATGTTGCTCTAACCTCGACGTTCTGTGTGAGATGGTGGCCTGAATCCCATACGAGGCTGAGTTCAGATCATCAATCGGCAGAGACTTCGTGGTAGTATTCCTTCAAGATCGGTGTGTTTGGGGCAGCGCAGTGCCATTGCGCGCATGGACGAGCTTGGCAGACGACTTGTTAAGGACTGACTGTAAACAAATCCTAGCCTAAGTTTGCGTGTAGCTTTCGAAAGAAACGTATTTATAGTGCCTGGGAGGCTCTCAGCAGTGCGCCGACTATCTCAGGTGGCTGCAAATAGTGCACATCGAAACCTGAATGATGGGAATACTACTTTGGCAATTACAAGCACGATGAAACAGAATCCTCAGATTTAACTGATTGGTTGGGTTTTCCTGAAGATGTACGTTAGAAAGGTATAAGGTGTGGGCAGTAGGAGTTCAGGCTGAGGCAGTGGATAAAATCGGGTAACTCGGCATTTTTGGATGCCTAAGACGTCTATACGCTGTCTGCCATTTTCTTGACCTCTGCAGCTCGACATGTGGAGATGGCCGTCATCGCAAACTAACACTGTCTGGTGATCTGGTTTTGGTGGTCTATTTACCGCTTATGAAGAACTTTGAATGTATGAAACAGTTTTTTAATTAAGTTTATTGAACATTCGCTAGGCGCAAATTCGGACTTTCAATCTGTTGCGCTGAAGATGACAAACAAGGGGGAAGTAGGAAATCTGTGTGAAACCGATCGGTAAAGCGCAGTTGGGGAAAGCAGACGAACTCTTACCGTTAATTATTAGATGCATTGTCAAGGACTGAATAAAAGTTAGTTAAGTTCGACACCTCGCACTTGGGTCCTAGGTGTAGAGATCTCTCTGAACCACTCTTATCGCTACCAGATCATCGATAGTTGCAGATGACAGACATCGACTCCGTTCGATTCACAACACTGCACCCACAATTGAATTTTTAGCCCTTTGCGTAAATGATGCTTTCAAAGAGGCGTTTCAAGAACTACTATTTCTAGTATATTAGCAGTGCGTTTTGCTGGCGACTGCTGTGTTTTTTCTTATTTGGTTGAATGTGTTTTCTGTAGATCCCACATACTTCCGAGGTCGTTGTGTGGACGTCATTCTCTCGCCTCCAAAACAGTCGATCGGTCGTCTGGGTGTTGTGCATCCGAATGTGTTGCGCAACTTTGACCTATCCCTCTGTGTCTCCGCGTTTGAGGTAGATATTGAGCCCTTTCTGTGAAGAGTCTATCTTATCACCTTCGCCTCTGTCTCACCCCTCTTCTTTTTCACGTGTGGTGTAAAATACACGTGTGACTGTGGCGTTTTTCTAGCTAGGTCTTGAAGTTGTTCGGCGACAACAAAAGGGTGGTTTTTTTACTACAAAAGGTTTAATCTTGCAGACCAAAACATCTAGAGTAAGGTACCATAGTGGGGACTTGCTGTTTACTAGCCATGCAACAATTTACGTCAGCCAGATGGATGCTGAGTCTGTCAGGACCGAGAGTGATCTCCGAGTGAGGACCGGAAATCTGATCAAACTTATTAGCCACTTGGCTGGGGTGGCTGCCTTCAGACACAATATGTGAGTAGATAGTTGCGGCGGCCGAATGATTCAATGAATGAATGGTGTTCCAGAATTGCTTGCAGGGTCGACAGTTTTGTGGTGCTGATTTGTTCTATCACCAAAGTTCTTAATGGTGTTCATTTCAGTAGAAGTCGTTTAGGTGCAGGTGTTGGTACGATCCGACTCAATGTCATGGAAATTCAACTCCTACTGACAGTTGGGGAATGTTAATACTTGGGATTTCCTAGAAAGAGTACCCATCATACTAGAGGCCATTCCTATTTCACAGCCTTCGCGCTAAGTTTGAGAGTCGCTCGAACTGATTATGTGAAGCCGAGGCGAACTTCATACAATCATCAAGTCAAGTTTAGAATGGCTTCTTGTCAGTGGATGACAGCTGCAGAACTCGTGTTCGCCTTTGCGACTTTCAGGGATGATATTATTATTATTGTTATTATATTTTTCATTGAAGTAGAATTTATTTCCACCTTTCCAGCTAAACAATAAGCTACTTGATCCTTAACAATTCCACATTCGTTCTCGTGGAATATTATGGTATTTCAGAAGCGTAATGGGCTGACAAACTAAACCGGTTTAACAGACCTTCTACCACAAATGATGGTGATTGGTGCAATCACACGTACGGAAAAGAGGAAAGTGTAGGAGCTGAAGGATACTATGAAGCCGAGGTAGACGACAGCTTTTTAATTTGGAAATGTAATGCTGACACCATTACGAGGAATTACTACTTATGAAATTCTAGGGTCACAATTAAGGAAGGAGAAAAACTCAGCACGAATCTTGACAAACACTACATTTAGCACCTGGCCCATGTACATCTTTAACAAAAGAAAAACGATTCCAACTATAAACGGCACCCGGACCTAAATGTCTTGTTACAAAGAAGTGACTTCGTTGAATTCATCTACTCCCTATCTCAACTTCCAGAGGTAAGGGAGCAGAGAAACGGAGATGAGCTATACACATATGGGGAGACAAGACGATGATCTATTGAACAAGGTTCCACGAGGGACTCGACATCCGCATCAGAGTCACCCGCGCAGCCTCCTCACGAATCGCAATATCTTCGCAAAGGCCCGCGGCCAGATGTCCCATGTCTACTGTCGCTTCAGCCTCGTTCAACAAACGAGAGAGCATCTCTTGAGGTCGACGCTCTCCACCGTAGCGGAGCAAGTTATCGCGGTACTTCTGTAGAATATGAGCACAAAAAATAGATAGAACTAAATGCGATCACCATGGGGTATAATTTGGCCATCACCAGAATGTAAGGAAGAGTAGAAGAAAACAGTCCCACTTGCCCGTCCGAAGTCCGATGACCACGGATCCCCCGCGAATCCCTTGTGCCAAACCAGCCCAGCAGCAGCTCGTGCCATGAGATAAGAGTAGTAACGGCCGCCGTAGTTGCACAGGTGTCCGAATCGATGCGTAGTGGCTATGGGTAGATGTTGTAACTGCGATGGCAGATCTACTGACAGCCAAGGACTACAGTGTTCCACCAAAAGGTTCTCAAGAAGGAGAGCAGATGGAGGACTGCTACTAGAGGATCTATAGAAGGATTTTAGGACCTTCGAGGGAGAACCAGAGTGCAAGCGTTGATCGAGAATCGAGTGGACCAACTATTAAGAGAATTTAACAGCAAAATCACAGATCTCTTGACCCTTAGCGAAGCTGACATACAGTTCGAAGGAAACTTGAGTTTATCAAGACCTACGTCCTTATACCGAACAAAAATATTGTTGTCAAAAATTGGAGGACACTAGTCTAGTAGAGTTTAGTAGATGCTTGAGCACTGTGAGATTGTAGAGTTGGAGCAACCTTTTTGGTGGGCTCTAACAACGGTCCAATGGTGATGATGACGACGACGATGACGCATCGTACCAACAGCTCCTTCAAAATCAATTTGTCAAAAACTGGACTTCTTCACTTCCCATGCCCTAGTTGAAACAACAATCGGCTTCCACAGAAGAATTCACAGCACTGGAGATGTCCAGAGAGTCCAACAGACTACCACCTACACATCGGTGCCGCCTCAAATTATCCCATAAATCAATGTATTGTCCAAGTAGGTAGACAATTTCATCAGTGCGGCAGTGACGCCAGTTCAGAATCCGGTTATAGTATTTCTGTTTGAACTCAGAATCAGAAGTCAATGAACCTCCAGCGATCCAGTCACGCTGTTCATGCTTGGTGGTATCGCAGTTAAAGGATGGACGGATCAGGACTAACAGTACCTCTCAGCAGGATTGAGTTACACCGAGGCACAAGTGATGGCGATAGTATAAGACGAAGTGTCGCTTCTGTATTCCCAACTGTGTTTCAAATGTGCTGCCAATTGTTAAACCCAATAATGCTTCAGTTTTTTATAAAAAGAGACTGTCAGTAGATGTAAGTGTCAAATAAGGTACCTTTATTAACCAGCACTGAAGGAAACAGAGGTACGGTATGTGCCTAGAAGTCAACTTCCGAGGCAGGATAAATTCCTTGAATGGCGCCCAAGTCTGCCACTTGGTTAACTCAGTCATGCACATTTACAGTGACCAATAAACCCTTCAAAGTCCAGCTCATGCAATTTAAGACAACCAGGAAAGAAAAACCAAGAGGTAATCCCCGAGAGACTTGCTAAAGCAACATTATGAGTTGAAGTTTCCGGAAATTTGAATGAAAGACCGTATTTTTGGAGCTGCAAACGCCCTCAGAACATCGATACATGACTCGTCCCAAATATTTACCATTGTAAGAAACAGGTTTGCAACATATCGCTTCAGACCTTTCAGCGAAACGCAGAGATAGGAGGGGTGACGGGCCGCTTCAGGCTAACTGCCCCGTGTAACGTCCAAACGCCGAGTCGAGCACATTATTGTAGTCAGGGATCACGTCGAAAAGGAAGTACAGCTTTTATTTTTAAAATGCGCTTCTTTGTATTGTAAATCCTTGTTTTAATTAAAGGGCCTTCCAACGGATAGAAAGAGCAGCTTGAAAGCGACATAGGCATTTCCTTTTGTCTCGTACAACTTTGGTCAGCAAAAATGTCCGCAAAATGGCATTAAAAACCGGGACGAAATCATAGAGGATACCTACTTGAAGCATGACCTCAACGCTCTCCCCATAGCCGCGGCTGGCGTTGAGATGAAGGAGAGCTCTCGCATCCTCATCAGAAGTGGGTGCCTCACCATTCTGGAAGTGTCGAGCGTATTGAGCAGTCACACGAGCGTCTAGAGCAAAGTGCTCCATCAGGGTGGAGGGGAGCTCGGCTAGGTCAGTGCTGCATCTGCAAGGAGTAAGGTGATCAATCCATCCTCACAAATGAGGATTCGCAAAACATTTGAGGATAACTTCTGGTAATTGAGCCTGTAATACCCAGGCTATCAAAAATTGAGATGTATACGGCATCGAGGACCAGTTACCACCTCTAACCTTTATGTGAATGTGTATGGCGAATGATTGAAGGTGTTGGGGACCTTCATTGCGTTGAGAACTAGTATCTCCACAACACTTCCCGTGCCATGATTATTTCGCATTATTATAATTCACTCCATGATATGGGCCTTCTACCTTAAAAGGCGTTATAGTGAAGCGATGCGTTCAAGTTTATCAAAAAAAGGAAAAGGATATGCGTGGTGATAGCATCCTTGACGTGCCCCCACACAGGTATCTGCATTCATTACCAAGAAGTATGGTCATTCAGTAGGCCATTCCATGAATCTATGCGCTACCAATGTTGCCCGCAAACTCAATCAAAGTGACGGGATCGAATCAGCCCAAATCAGGAGGAATGGCCTTTAGATTAGGCGATAATGGATTGAAAGAGGAAAGCGTACCTAGTGCCGGTAACATGTTGGTAGCGTGTACGTCCAAGCACCGAATGGAGTGCATGCCCCCACTCATGAAAGAGATTTTCCACCTGCCCAGGTGTCAACAACACTGGAGTTCCGTCTTTACTGGCAGTAAGACTTGAACCCAAGTTCAGTTGAAGCACCACAACCGGATATTGGAACGGTGAGTGTGACTCAAACATGGTGTTCTCGGTATGACGACCACCCCGCACAGTGTAGTGGCAGTCCTATAAAGATAAAATAAACAGGACGGCTACAACAATGGCTTTTCGCAATCTACGCACGTCCTGACCGCCCAGTGACTTATTTTTACTATCTCTATCAGGGGAGAAATTCTGCTTGCGAAGATGGTATTATCAGGCATGTTCAGGCTATGGGTGCTACTTTGCATTCATTACCTCTGAAGTTGTGTCCAGATTCGCAATCTTAGTAAAGTCCTCACGGATAACACAGATAAACTTTCCAATTTTAAAACACTCACCTGTAACAGCTACGTTGCTCCACTCTCAGTATTGACATCACCTTGTATCAGTGCAACAGAATAGCAACAACAAGTCGGTACAAATGCAGTGATGCAATTAAGTTATATGATCTCCGATTTAGCTACTGATACCCCTATTGGAAGTAACGACTCGATTTCGTGCTGAGCATTAGCACCATTAGGTAAGAAAGTAGCGTTAGTATCGTGCAGCACCAACACAGAGCCAGTATAAATGGCTTAAAGTGTAAAAAAATGAAATGAATGACAAACAATAATATGAAACCACCTCCTTTAAAGGGCAAGTCATATGAGGTGCATAAGCTGCAAATAATTCTGACAAATATTGAGCAGAAAACGGGCAAACGGAAACAGTAAGGTATATGATAGATTAATCCTCAATAAACAAGAAAGGGGATCAGAAGATGCACAGTTTTGAAGCAAAACGAAATGTTGCAAAGTTGGACCACATAAAGTATAATGTTGCATAAATTCCACATTCGAAAAAGGACTAAAAGTAGTTTGTGTTCCTCCATGGTTTCGAATTGAATGTTGTACGATAAAGATACATGAACCAAGGATGGAAACAGGGAAGCAATGACGTGGTGCACTTAGCAATGCAAATTCGAAGGAGCGACTACATGAAGCCGTCGCCACTACTCATTAAAAGGCTAACAGAGGCAATATGAACTGACGCTGAAGCTGATTATAGAATCTCTACCACAACCAAGCCACTGTTTGGATGGCAGACACACGAATGGAGAATTCTCAAGTACAGTAACATAGGAAATCCAAATGTGCACAAAACTTCCTGTGCAGCCCCGAAAAAAAAAAGAGAATTGTGTACTTACCGTAGGTAGCTTGCCCGGACGATTGAAGAAGTCACAATATATAGTACCCACCTGCACCCCTGGCCCGATTGGGTGCTGGACCTCCCAAGGGTGCACTTCCTCCGCTTCCACGTCCACGCAGGACTCCGTGGTATACGCAGCTACCTTGACCACATCCGGATGCCAGACCTCTCCAGGAAGGGCAGGCTCAGCCTCCAGTCGCAGACCAAAGAGGCTATGTGCCAGTTGGCTTACGCCCTCCATGCACGCACCCAGCGAGAAGTAGGCCTGTAGACGCTAATAATGCACCTGATGCTGGTAATTATGCAAACTCTGCGCTAGTGGCTTTTGGACACCCAAACCCTTCCGCATACCTATAATCTTATTAGCCCAAATATCACGGGCGCCAATGTTCTCTGCCAACAGAGTTAGGTAAACTCAAAAACCAGAGTTTAATGTAGACCTCCCCAGAGGTAAAAAAGATGGCACGGATTTAATGCTGACCAACAAATCAAATGCTCGGGATCAGAATCGATTTAAGACAGTGGGTAAGCTACTTTAAGGCGGAATTGAGCGCAAGAAGCAGATTCCATAAGACACCTTTCTTTCAGCTCCAAAATCGAAGCTGAAAATGTTTAGACTTTCAAATTCTTATGTGAGAAAAAAATATATGAATAGCATGAATCCTAATAGGCAAAAGCTAAATCAAAGTGAAAAAACGAGACAAAGATTATGAACAGCATGGGAAAAGGTTGGTGCGTTCACCTCGAACCCACCACACTGTTGACCTTGATGGATGAGAAAAGGCACGTCCCAAGGTCGCAGACGTTCATCTTGAGGCTTTAGATCCTTTCGCAGCTGTGAGAGTGCCGTCCTAGTGGCTATTCGAGAAAGAAGGGTTGAAAGTGTCGTAAGAAAGTGCTCTACCCCCTCAGGCGACTCCGCAAGACTCGACTGTTGCACGGCACGATAGAGGAAAGACTTCTTACCCGCTGCTCTGTAATTGATAACAGTGAAGTTTAAATATTTGCCTACTTTGCCATTTTATCCCTGGCGTCAAGAAGAGCAATCAGCCGATATTCCTGACCTTCAATAGGACTGAAGAATAGAACATAGGTGAGAGCACGAAGAAATTGTTGGGGCGCCTCGTAGTAGGGACAGTAAAGATTCCTCCCTTTGAATGGACCCCAGTCAATGTCTTTTGAAATGGAGCTCAAGATATTGGAACTGAGGGTAACAGGTGTGTTGGCGATCTAGGAAGTATTATGAACTTATGAATAGAAGCTACTCTATTGAATTCAACACTGAGTTCCAGATTTTTGGAAGCCGCTCTAAGAAAGGCCTGACGATCAGATATATCTTTAAGATGTACACCAGATTGCTCGAAGTCCTCTATAAAGAGATTGAGAACTCGTTTGTCGACAAAATCGGTCTGGCTATCAGGACCAGGAGTTGGGGAGGTATGAGCCCGAACTGCAGCCTCGTAAAGGTCAGCGTCCGTGTTTAGACTTTCAACGAGATTTCCGACGCGAAGACAGACTTCATTTGCGGCACGCTGATAAGCCTCATCAGGATGCAGGGCTCGAATGCAGTCAGCCAAATCGGCTACACGGCATAAACTGTCCGAGAGATCATCCAGAATCTAAAATGAATGAAAACATACCAAAATGTTAGCTCTGGCACAGGTACCGGATTAGAGTCCAGAAATATAGGGCTTATTACAACCTGAACCATTGCTCGCTTCCGATTATAATCTTTCGCCTCACAAATTAGTATGTGACAATTGCTGAAGCATTCCTCCAAAGATGCTTGAAAACCGCAAGGCTCTCGTAGTTTCTCATCACAAAACAAGCCTATATTCATGCGTTTTTTGTGTGCAAAAATAACTAACCAGTAGCCTTCTCCCCATTAGCAGGTATGCTTTTGAGCCCATAATTAAATGCGTCAGCCAGCGGGGAAAGCCTGATGTGTTTTGATCTATAAAAGAGGCCTAATCGAGTCAGATACCGAACATGAGTGGAGCGAAACATCACGCACACTCATCCACAGTGACCGCCTCGATTTAAAACGTATTCAATGTTGCCAATTTCAACTCAAAGCCTCTTCCAGCAACAAAGATGATCATTTAAAGAACCAAAGGCAAAGGAATCGAAGTACAGCGTTAAAGAAAGCAGAAGTGTGTGTTTATAACGCCATTACCTCTTATAATTTGGAATGTTGAAATCCCACCCACTATCGTCAGAAGATTGACTTGTCATGAAAACACACAACTAATTTTTACAGGAAGCAGACAGCCTTTCCAATTTTTACTGTGCGTCCCTTTAAAAGCTTAAAATTAAATTTTTAAGTAAAGAAGATCACTTTTTTACTTATTATTTAATAGGCTCCCATGGCCTCCAAGTGGATGCAAGAAGGTAGAACTATAAGTCGCCACATGAATTATAAGAGGATAATAAGTGACTGGATCTCTGCTTGTCCCGAAGTCCAGCACTCACATATAAGGGCGAAAAGAACATCAGAGCATCCGCCAAACATTAAGCATTCGCATAAACAAAGTGTTAAATTCTCATAGAGCATAAGCTACGATAAATCTGATTTTGTTGTACACCTTGAGTGTATTCAGTTTTGCCAAGTTATTGAAGGCCACAGCCCTTACTGGCGTCATACGACGCCATGATTGGCGATGAGTGTTTAGCAACTAGATATATGAATAGTCTGTTGCCACTATCACGAGTAACCGTTAATCGTTTAAGCACAGTTTTAAAGGGAATCAACATTACTTCCTCTGATTTGCCATCCTATACTCTTGAAGCGAGAAGCATTTGACGGGTGACAGCGCCTTCACGCCTTAATGATGCTCACCCTATCACGGGTCTGCTGTATAATAAACTGGACGCTAAGGCTAAGCAGATGCCCGTCAAAAACTTATGCGACCATTCAAAAGTAGCCATCATTTGTTTGCATTTGCTAGATGGATATTCTTTGTGCCTCACGATTATGACCCAAAAGATATAGAGCCAAACTTATCAAGCTCTTTCAAACAAGGCACTCGATTCGCATTCCTGGTAGACGCAATCCCATGTGGCAATTCAGGATGCAAATACTCAAGAAATAATGTTAGGGCCCTAGCAACAAGAGATGAGAGCTTAGTTAATTTGGACTTTAGTAATAATACCCAGATAGACAGGTAAGTATATTTGAAGCATCAACCTAATGACATGGCGAATGTTGATGAGCTTAGTGTGAGTGAGTGAGAACACACAGGCCAAAATCGCTTATTCTGCAATTGAACCGTGCCCTCGCCTCGATCTACAAGTAAAAGAAAAACAATGAAACAAAAGACACTGAAGTGTGATTAAGCTATGGAGTCCTTTATGAAGATGTCTGCAGTCAATTTAGATATAGCTGTTTGTGGTTCCCTAGTGCCAATGTCAGCAATAGCAACAAAACAAAGATCGCGACACTGCCGAAAATCCACAGGTTTATTACTTTAACTCAGTCTTCGATAAACGGCGAAGATACAAACGGTAGGATAGGAAAGTCAACTTACTGGTGCATGTATTATAAAGTGAGGTGAGGGGTTAGAAGTAAGAATAAATCGAAGCAATGTTAAAGCAAATAAATCGGTCTAACTGTTAAAATGACACTACAGAAAGGCTGAAAAATGAAGCACGGTTCAAGAAGAAGGTGGTGTTGATTCAAAAAAGGGGAGACTCCATTTCGTTTACCTAAATATAGAGGACATGCGCCTTCTTCTAGCGGTAATATTAACATTTGTGAGGGAACCAAGGAAGAGCTCATTGCCCAAAGCAGAGGCACGACGCGAAATCTCGTAGTTTTGTCGCTGGCTTTCCGGATATTCCGTGACTTCCAACACCACACCGCGACTCAACGGAGGCACCTGCTCATACATTGAATCCACAATGTAGTAGGACATCTGCACGCAAAGATCCGGTTGATTGTTTTTGACAGCCCATAAAATAATTGTCCTCTTAATTGTTCTACCTCACTTACTTGAAGGTTTCTCTCGATTATTTCGTCAATATCAAAGTCATCCTGATCTTCACCAAATGGATTAATTAATGATTCAGCAACCTAAAGGGCAGTAAAATGCAAAGCATCTTCAACGAAAGCTTTTAACTTTATAAAATCACAATACTTTTAACATTGACAATGGCACATCTCATAATGGTATCAATAAACAAGGGGGAGATGAAACGTGCCTTAATGGAAAAGTAGCGCAAGCTCGTCAGTAAAAAAATGGTTCTTAAACTAGAGGCAGTAACTGCATGCTAACCCCTCCTGTAAGGACATGAAATGGCATGCAATGTTCTCAAACGATCGCACTCCACAAATACACGCAACATTACACCAAACCAGAAGTACATATAAGAGGGTCGTGCCTACCTTAATCCACCCCATGTAGAAGATGAAACGTAGAAGACCAAAAATCGGAACGTACAAATCAATTTTTCCCCCCACCACATTTTCATTGGGATCCAGAAATTGCCATGCAAAAAGGGAAGAAATGGTGTAGCTATAGACTGTCAGAATCGCCACCTTAAGAAACAGTAAATCAATGTTAGCTCATGGAGAATCATTGGCTCTCTCCTAACCTGTGTGTAAACCAGTGGAACAGAAATTAAGTCGTAGCAACGAATGGTACCGAGACCATTACGGAAATTAATGATTTGTTTGCAGAGAATTTCCACAGAAAGATCGGAATCGATGCACCCTTCAGCTCGCATTTGCAGAACGATGTCCTGTGCCCACAAACATGGTTCCATGTAGCACGCTGGACGTTGAAATGGGGCACTTTTGAAGTAAAGCAGTATCTCCTCTTGAGTCGCTAAACCTAGAGAGAGGCGTAAGGTATTTCGCACTTGAATGCTTCAAGGAATATTATGCAAATTTGGGGTTAATAATTTGCAATTCATTCGTGGGAATTCTCAAGCTGATGCAAAGTTCATGTACTTGTAATATTCTTTCAAGGATTTCGAAGGTCAAACGGAAAGTCCTTTTAATGTTCTAATACATTTTTCAAGAATGTTGGCAAAAGTCATAGAAACAAATGCACAATTATGACAAACAGTCAGAGATCTCCAAAGTTTTATACTCTTCACAATTCTGTGCTTTCTTCAAAGTGAAGCAGTGCGTTCCTTTGACCGGTAAAAACGGACCTGCGGATACCAAACTAAACTCGTTTGGAAAAAGTAATCTAGCCCGCGAACACATATCGCGAATGGCCAGAACATAGGAGAAGTTGATGTAGCGCATAATAGTGCGGCGTTGGATTCGGACACGTTCTGAGTGACCGCGAGTGTAGGCACTCAGACTCATAGCTATTTCATCCGGCCAAGGAATATTGAGAAACTGATCCCACCAACGTTCAACTATGGTGTTTACGAAGAAACCCAACACAAAGTAGACGGGGATGTACTCTCCAAAGTAGTTGCAGAAGCTGCAGTACGCCTCAAATGAACTGACAAAAATGCGCTATCAATAAAAGAAAATTACAACAGCAGAATCTGCCCTTAAATGCTAGCAATTAAAAAAACCTTTGCAATAAAAACAATTCGACTTGGTAATATGTTTTTCAAGTTGGATACCAGAAAGCTACATGGATCCCGTTACTGAGTTAAAAACTAAAACAGAGCACCCAAAAAATACATTCAAAATGAATTGTCAGTTGGTCTGTCAAAGGGATAAGGCTGATTAAATATTGCGTAGCATAGTATGAAGGAGGTATAATAAACAGATACATTGCGATTAAATCGGTTGAATAAATAATGATATAAAAAGGGTGTCCGAAAAATGGTAGCCTTACGAATTCAATCAAATTATTGATAAAAGCCAGATTCTCACCGTTTAATATAGTCAGGCATCACAAAACGATAAGTTAAAGATAGTAGAGTGTATAATCCACAAAACAGCAAGAATTCGCACCAGATATAACGATAGACACTCCCTTTCCACCTTAATTTGTATCACACGTAAAGCTATGCAAACCTAAATAGAAGTTTTATAAAAATAAACCATGAGTTGGTTGCAACGGAATTTAAGTAGCTGACTGTCATTTTGAAAACAGACGTGACCTAGACTCTACTTATCGCACAAAGCCTAAAGGAAGTGAGCGACCAAAACAAATACTCACCCAAAATTATCTATGCATAGTTTTCGGTTTGCGTAAAATTCGTACGCTGATTTCAAAATCTGACAGCTACTGAATTGCATTAAACATGGGTCATTTTGCAATGCACAAAATACATTAACGGTTCAGTAAATCGCATACCTAGTGTTGCTGTTCTATGGATCCATTAAATTACTTTAGTTCATCTTCATAGTTTATGACTTTTTATGTAGTAGCAGGCTTATGTGAGCATAGCAAGGCTTTTGGAACCTGTAAACTGAACTGTTCTTTCCGGTTTGGCCTTAGCAGCGTCAACTACATGTATCTTCGTTCGCTCTAACATAACAAATAAAAGACAGGGCTTTGTTTACTCGACTGCCTGTACATTTCGCTATGATGGGTGGGCTTGTCATCGGGCCATGCCAAAGCCTCATCTTTACCCCTTATCTTCTCAATTCAAGTTTGCAGCCAGCTCGGAGGCCCGCCACATGTACGCAGTCGAATAAGAGATATTAAAAATGCACATTTAAACAGCAACTATAGTGTTTTATTTATGTTTCAGCAGCTCGAGACTTCCTATAGGGTGGAAGAAGGCAGTAAGTGAGGCTGGATACATGTATTTCGAGGAGAACAGAGCAAATGGGCTTGAGCATGGCCCAAAGGCCAGCCTACGTGTATAAGAGCTAGACAAATCCTAAAGTGACCGCCAAACGTCAGGTAGTCACATAAACAAAGCATTGCAAATGTGATAACATGACGTTTGGCGGTCAATTTAGGGTTTGTCTGGTTCTTGTACTCATGGGCTGGCCTTCAGGCCAGCTTCACTCACTATCTTCTTCCACTCTGTGAGAAGTCTCGAGACGCTACAGCATCCACCGCTCCTTACCTTCTTCATTGCGGGTACCAAAGCATACACGCAACATATATCATGATATCGTATTTGCCTTCTTTGTAATAATAATAAAATAAATGGAGTTTACTGCACAGTGGTCAAGGTCACTGACGGGGAATTGTGTTTGGTTTTAAAGTAGTGGACTCAAATACATTTCAGCTGTTTGAATTATTCGAAAGGTAAATCAAAAGCCGTGCTTGAAAACCCTTCCTATGGTCAGATTAATATCCTCTTAGCTGTACTAATTTACATTTTCATCCTGTAAGCTCCTCCTATGAGGGCGGATGTGAAGGATCTGGAGAGCGGGACGGGCAGCACTACAGACAATACCTGCATTTTAAAACCTGATGCATTTTGTAATACATTTAATTGACGCGATATTGTGCGACTCTTTTAAGCATTTTGCCTTGACCAACCTGGAGGCGATGGAACAACTGCCAGGGTAACTCAAGTGGCATTGGTGATTGGCCCACACGGCTAGAGTTGGGGAAGCAGAACAAAAAAAAGAGCAGACAGGATTTTTATTTCAAATTATAGTAAAATGACCTAATTAAGCCAAATAATCCGCTACAGATAATTAAGGGTAACGCGGATGATATAATACCGATTATAACTGAAGTAATTTTTCATGATCTGTCGGCAATGTCTCTCTTCGACTAACTGAATTTTAAAGGTTTTAGCTGGCTGTGTTGTTAATACCAAAAATCTAACCTTTTTCTGTAGCGCTCTGAGACTTCTTCCAGTTAGTTGCATAATCAAAGCACCATACTGTATGTAAAGCGTTTTGTACTGCCGAAAGAATCTATTTGAAAGTTCTATAGTATAAAAGAAGTTCACCGACTTTTATTTTCTCAATCCATGTTTTAATATCAATTAGTGTTAATCGCATCATCTGCACTTATTGGACACAAGCTTGGATGGAATTGGCAGAAGAAACTCAAAAACTTAGTCTCAAGGGGATCGAAAGAGAGGCGCTGTGCTTGCCAAGTGAAGCCCTTGTAAGCATGTGCACATCTCGAAGTAATGTAGATCCAGTTGCTTAAGATTGCTCGAATGAGTGAAGGGAACGCAAGGCGAGGCATGTAAAAGCATGCAATTGCAAAAAATTGACGCTTTAAGGAAACTGTGAGTAGCATGCATATGAGAAATTGGTACGTTAGTGGACTCAGGATAATGCCGAATTTGTTAAACACTTTTATCCAAGGCAACCAAACAATAGGTAATGTCATCAAAGATGGGAAAGTTAAAATATGATGAAACTGCGGGTGGAGACATCTTGATTGTTCAAAGAAGCTGATGCACCGTTTGCATGGATCATAGGGAAGATGAGGCCACAGCTAGACACAGTTCAACTCACTGTATAGCTGCATGGTAAAATTTTGTTTTTGAGACGAATGCATTGCTGAGCCCTTGACAAAAAGGCACCTTAGCAAATGCTAAAACTTTTACGGGAGCTCATGGTAGGTCGGTAAGCATAGCCTTGATAAAAGCAAGTACTTATTTGTGTGTCGGCAATGTAATCCACAGGTAGCTACCAGTAGTCTCGCATCCTTGTATCCTCTGTCTTAAAGAAGTCAAGTAAACTTGAAGGAAAGATCAGAGCCCGCTTGAGAGATTATTAACGACTCTGTAGTAAAGCCTTGAGTGAAGATGCATCGCCAATGTGTGACAACAAGGCAGGTCAATCAACGACAAACAAACTGAATTATGCACAGAAATTCTCAAAGATAGATGCACAGTATTGAGAAACATTTCCTGCTTCATACCACATTAATTGGAGATAATCATGTCTAGAGAAATGTCAGTCGCGTTTTTGAAGAATGGTTGCAAAAATCGTTGCATTTGACGTCGTATGTGATGGGAATACTGCTGTGAGGCAATCCAGCACAGTATTGCTATATGCGTAAAATGAGACATGAAGGAAAGCACGCACGATGGAAAATGATAAATGGCCTATTGGCCCTGAAAAACATTCCCTTTGCCTATCAACAAATTGCATTTCATCTTTACATATCGTCAATGTATGCAAATGCTTCGCTGCCAATGAACGTGCTATTTGACAAACAAACGTGTCGTAGACACAGATCACACATCGGAGTGGCGTAACTCAATGGCGGATCCACCGTTGGTCAACTTCGCTCCATCCATTCCATTCCACCCACTGTCTCCTACTCACTCTCCACCACCCAACCAACACTTCTGTGGCCTACACCACTCCATCCCCATGCGACCCCACACCCACCTCTCCACTCTCCCACTGTACACTTGTGTGTACTGCACTGTCCACGCACTCGCTCAGCACAACGCCTCCAT